AGATTTATTTGAAACAGGCCGATTTACCTAGATTGGATAAAGCCAGATTAACAGCTTTAGATAGCTTAATATCAATGGAAAAAGTTCAACTTAGCACTAAAGAGTACAGCTGTAGGTAAGCACTCCGGACCTGATGGATTCACTTTGGGAGATTATAAGAAGTTTAAAGAATATCTAGTCCCTAAACTGTGCATATATATGAATGCATTGGGAGAGGAGACAACGATAAGGGAGGAATCGCTACAGGCACATATCACAGTAATACCGAAGGAGGGGAAAGATTGGTCACAGTGTACCAGCTATAGACCTATATCTTTGTTGAATGCTGATACAAAATTGTATGCGAAGGTACTACCAACAAGGATGAAAGAGTTGATGTCTGGTTGAATACACTTTGAGCAAGTGGAATTTATCCTGGGAAGAGAGGGAAAGGATAATGGCCTAAGAGCATTGCTTATCCTGCAAAAGAATGGAAGAGGAGAGGTACTGGGAATCATTTTATCGGTTAATGCTGAAAAGGCCTTCGATAGATTGGGGATTTATGGTAGACACGCTGAGAAACATTAGGAATTGGGCCTAGAATGATGCAGTGGATAAAAGAGTTATATAGGATCCCACAGCTGAAGTGAAGGTAAATGAATCACTATCAAAATTTTTTAGGATGTATAATGGAACCAGACAGGGTTGTCCACTATCCCTGTTGCTATTTGTGATTTCCTTGGAACCGCTATTAGCAACCGTTAGAAACAGCAAAGGAATGTGGATAGGAGACGTTGAACATAAAGTGGCAGCACATGCAGACGATATGCTGTTCTATTTTGCAAACCCCAGACTAACATTACCAAACTTAATGAGAAAATTTAAAGAATACGGAGCGTTATCAAACCTGAAAATTAATTCCTTGAAAATTGAGATTTTAAATATAAAATGTCCCAAAGGCTGAGAAGCAAATCTTGCAAAAAGAATTCTCCTTTACATGGAGAGAAAAAGAACTAAATTATTTGGGAATAAAATTAACATTGCCTGATTTTATAGATTTTTTTTTTCATAGGCTAATTATAACCTGCATAATAAATGAGATAAATTATGAATTGAGGAAAACCTCCATGGGAAAGCGGACTTGGATAGGTCGGATAAATATTATTAAAGATGATTATATGGGGTGATGGGGAAAGATAAATTAAATATAGATTTTCTGCATTGCATGATGTTTGATACAAAGTGGATTTGTATTATAAAAATTAATAAAGATATAATTAAGAAAAAAAAAAATGAGTATTTTTTTTTTATAAATGAAAAAAGACCAAAATTAAAACAATATATATTTTTTTGCTATAAAACATATCCAATAGAAATTTTTTTTTTTTTTAAACATTTCTTCATAAATTTAGACCAAAAAATGTATTCTTCTACATGTCTTTGGTTAAAAAAAAAAAAATCTCAATAACTGTATATTAATTGGTTTGCATGAAATTTAAAGTGTCTATAAATGGCGGTATAATATATATATATATATATATATATATATATATATATATATATATTAGTAAAGGCAGTAATCAGCTACTTATAGTGGGACTTCAATAGTACGGCGGCATTCTGACACCGGGAGGGAACTAGCTGCCACTGACATCTCCAGTGACACTAATACAGTGCTAATGACACTGGGCAGGAAGGGGTGAAAAACCCACTTGCTGACTGCCCTGTAGTCGTTTTACTGCTACAGGGCGGCCACTGTGCACAAACTCATGTATATGTATATATATATATATATATATATATATATATATATACACACATATATATACACACACATACATACATACATACATATATATATATATATATATATATATATATATACATATACATATACACACACACACATTATTTCGGAATTCCAGGTGGGGGGGGGCATGTGTGCCATCCTACCCGCGCTGCCATTGGCTCCTGTAGGTATCAATCACTGGGTCCTGGCTAGCGATTAATGGCCCGGACCGGTGGCTGGTGGAGCAGCTGACAGGAGAGAGATCCTAGTGTACACACAGATCTCTCTCCTGTCAGCAAGGACCTGCTGGTTTTTATCTCTCTGCAAACAGATAAAAGCCAGCACATCACCTAGTAAAACAACACAGTCCCTAACAACACAGTTAACCCTTTGATCGCCCCAGATGTCAATTAAGATGAACCTGTACTTTGTCCATGCAATTCATTTTGATGCAATCACCCCATAAGCTGCTTATGCTTACCATTCTTTCTTTCCTCCGTAGCGCTGCCTTGTAGGAATAAATAGAAGAAGCCCTGTCTAAGCACACAGTTGAAACTTGGAGCTTACGCAGGGCTCAAGACTCCATCTATCTCCCACCCACTTCATGTGATAGTACTGGAAGCCTTAGTGGCCACTTTCCTAGGATCAGCCCTAGTGAGTAAGATGTATGCTGCCCCATACCCACAAATAACATGTATATCACTTTGATTTTCTTGGCGAAAGGAGCGCTGAGGGAGCAAAGAGAAATATAAAAACAGTTGCAGAGGTCAACTTTGGCCTTGTATAAGCAAATAACAGTTTCACTGTAAACCTATTAAAGCTCAGTTCAAGATCTTATAACTTAAAGCCTAACTCTAGATTTATTTTTTCTTGAAATAGTTTTTCAGGTCAAGCCGGCCCAAACAAACAATTTCCTTTACTAATAGATATGCCTCAATAAAAAGGCTTCCTCTGATTTGCGGAGGTGGAGATTGTGTCATCTGCCCAGTGGTGTATTTAGATTTTGTGCTACCCTAGGCAATACAAACATTTTGCACCCCCCCAATGAGAGCGCGAGAGTCAATAAGTGTGTGTATGTATATATTATTTTCTCTCTCTCCCCTTCTTTCTCTGGAGGGGGGGGGGGGGGGGGGGGAGTTGTGTGCAGTGCCATACGATCTGTCAGTGTAGGAGGGAGGCAGGGAGATCCCACAGGACACAGCACAGCCCACCTCCTCCGGGCTCTTTCATCTCCGCCACTTCTCTTCTCCCTGCTTCAGGCTGTCCCCTGGTGCTGGCTTGTCTGGTGCTGGCTTGTCAGCTGCTGGAGGGAGGTACAAGAACATCGCTCTGCAACTGCCCTCCCCCACATCGATCCTCCTGCTGCCCGGGCCACTGCAAGAGTACCAAAGGTACCCCTCTGATGGCGGTCCTGCATGGCTCTGTCCTTCGCTGCTCAAAAGGTCCCTTCCCTAGGCAATCTCTCCGTTTGCTTTGCGATAGATATGTCCCTGTATCTGCCCACCTCTCCACTTCAGCCAAATTACAGCAAGTCATTTGTTCAAAAAATATAAGGCTTTCTGAGAATGGCTGAGCAGAACTCGTGGCAATTAGAATTTTGTTCCAGCAGCAGACAGGAAGTCCCCTTACAGCTCCCAGAACACATCGCTGCATACTGTATGAAGTAGACACCCCATACAGTTTATATGACAGCAGAAGCATCTATAAGTAAAAGGAAATAGTTTGTAAGGCCAGCAGTTTGGCATGCCTCCACTGAGTCAGAACTAGAGCTCTCCAATCAGCAGGGAACATGAGCTTTGATGATTCCAGGGCTCTAGCTGTGTTTCAGCAGGAAGTGGGGTTTCAGGCTACTGCAGAGAGACCAGTACTCTAACACAGGGTGTACGTTCAAGTAGATGTATATCCTACATGACGAACTGTGTATCCAAAAACTGAAATTGTTATTTTATTTAAATACATTTTTTCATTTGTCCACTTGTCGCTTTTTACCCATGGCATGGAGGCCACATATATCGTAACGTGGCTTTACTTGTCTTTGTGTATTAAATTTGAAAACCTAATAAAACATTTTTGGAAAAAAAATGTTTTTCAGCTTATCCTTTGGATGATCATCCCACCCCTCACTGCCACCAAGCCATCCCAAACAATCCTTCATCTTGAGAGACAGCTGGGTACCAAAACCCAGAAGCCCACTCCTGCTCAGTAGAACACTTCCATTGCAAAAAAAATGAGCGTTATGCACACAAACACACAATACCCAATTTTTTTGTAAAACAAATTGATAACCAAAACCTATTTAGACTCAAAATTGCGCATGCCGTCCAAATCACTTTTACTGAACAGCCGATCACAAGCTAAAAAAAAAAAAAAAAAAAAAAAAAAAAAAAAAAAAAAAGGAACACAGAGTCCGTGGCTACAGCCATGAGCTTGTTATAAGCACTTGCACAAAGGATGTACATACACATACTGCAGTCAGAGTGCTTAAACGGGCAGCACACACTGCATCCTTCCACCTAGGGATGCCTCTCTTTCTTCTTTGTTACTTCTCAGCGCTGCTGAACTCCTGCAGCCACTTTCTGTCTACATGTACAACCACTATCGGTTTACAATGGCTGCAAGGCATTTCTCAGGACAGGCTTCCCAATGGTGACAAAACGTGGACCATGCCAGGGCAATGTGCTTCAGCATGACTGCTTGCGGTGTCTATTGTGGGACCATGTGACAGGGTGACTACTCAGAAGCAATTAAGAGACAAGTATGGTGCACTCTCACCCTGCTACAGGAAGTATCTGAACAAGCTTTTGTCCATTTTGTACAATTTTCCCCTGTATTTTCTCTAACACTAAGAGTCTAAAATTGGTCCTAGCTTATGTATGAACGTGAGTGGAGGACCTTAGATTGTACACTCCTTGAGGGTTAGGGACTGATGTGAGTGTATAATACATATGTAAAGCGCTATACAAGTACCTGTAATAAACAAATGAAATAGGGCAATATAATCATCAGCTCCATCTACTGGCCAAAATGAGTTATTTTCTGACTGGTATTGCAGAAAAAAAAATATATTGCATTTTGGCCACTAGATGAAGCAGATGGTACCACAGGCAGTCATTGTATTTGTGATAACATAGGGAAAATCTGAGCAGCCTGGATGCATGTTTGTGACATTTGTCCAACAAATGTTTTATTACTAGACCCCCTAAGTTTGAGAAAACATCATAACACGGCTTACCCCTTTCTTGGCTGGGCCAGGCTTCTTCTTAATTAGCGAGGAACTGACTTCTGTAAGGTAATATTTACAGATTTAGGTACATAAGCACAGACAGCAAAGCCTTGATAAAGCCATACAACTTGGCAGGCATGAATTACATATAGATTTTATGCTCAAATTTCAAACATCGCAGAGGATATGAGCGATTGCCATTGTGTAGCACAGCAATAGTGTATGGAGTATGCTTTGTTCCATGCACTCAAATCATGGGACTTGCTTTGCAGCAGCACCCATCCAAATGCCCAGTGTCAGAAAATGTATCTACTTGTGTGAATCTGTACTATGTGCTAGCTGTGTTCCTGAAAGGGTTTTTTTTTTTTTAACAAATACATAAGGGCTCTTAACATTAAATGGTTAAAGTGTATTAAACAAGAATATATAAACAATTCTTGTGTGTGTGGTCTGTGTCCCACTAAGGAGACTTTCCTCCTTCCGGTTCCGGAAACGCAACAGGAAGTGAGATAAAATCTCTACAAGTGCGGGGAAAATGCCTCTTAGGCAGTTTTCACCAGGAAACTTGTACCCGATTCAAATAAAAGTGTTAAGGTGGTTCTTATTCTTCCCTACTGTATACTAACAAAACAAAAATGGCCCTGGTCTCGGTTTATGTTTTTGGTAAATAAACATGTAATCCTTAGGTGTTCCCCATACATTTCAGGCTTAGGCTAGGTTCACACTAGCCCACATGCTGTAGGATAGTTGCGGGTATCGATGAGATTCCTGCACCTGCAGACGCATCACGTTTCTCTTGGGAGACGTGGGGGTAGGGTGACATTCATTTTGAATGGCACCCCCACGCATCTCGAACTGCATGAAAACTGGATGGGCAAAAAGAATATACATTTTCATGCACTTTTTCCTTGTGTAAAAAGCGGGCATAGCATCCCATTCAAATGAATGGGTTGCCTTGCGGCCTGCACTAGTGTGAACCAAACCTTCGTGGTACTTTAAATTCTGACTGAGTAGGTGTTTTATGCAGAAGCTCTTGCATTGTATAAATGTGTGTGCAGGATAAATCAGGAGACTATAGCAGCTAGGAACAGGATTTGGATCACCTGTCAGAGGTGTGCTTCCTGCAGATACTAAATTCACTGAATCAGCTGCAACATGGAAGATAAGAAAAAACAAAAAGGACATATTTTATAGCAGTACTACAAAACAAACTATACTTTATAGGGAAGGGTCGTACTGATAAACTTACATGTCAAAGTTGCAAGGGTTATTAAAAAAAAAAAAAAAAAAAAAAAAAAAAAAAAAAACCACAACACACACACGAAAAGTACCACTTAAAATGGAACATCAGGCAAAATGCTGCAGTCTGTCACTACCATTTACATAGCATTTGTTTCTTTCTACTTCTCTCATAACAGTGTATAACCTGTTCATTATTTTTTACATTACCTGTGACAGGGTGACAATGCTGCTCATTCCTGTAGAAATCACCTTATTACCTCAAGTAATAAGCAAACAACACACACACAAAGCTGGCAGTTATGAAGCACGCCAAGCAGTGTATTAGGATTTACTTAATCCCTTGTAACTGTCATTTTGTAAATGTAGGAAGTGGGGAAAAATAAGAGATCTACGGAAAAGATCATCAGGTAATTAAACTATAGTGCGGGGGGGGGGGGGGGGGGGGTCTCATAAAAAAAAATAACTACTGACAGACTGTATCAAGTACGTAATTTTTGACTCTACACATTACACTTTAAAGCAGAACTAATGTCCTAGATAGTTACCCTTAGTGCAAAGGTCCTTTAACAGCATCCACTCCCTGGCATCTGGTGTTACTAAAGGCAATTGTTTGTTATTTACATTAATAAACATGTTATACTCACCAGCTCTGTGCAATGGTATTGCAGAGTGGACCAGAACCTCCTCTTCTGGGGTCCCCCACAGGCAATCTTGGCTCCTCCTTTTCTCCATGTGCCCCCATAGCAAGCTGCTTGCTATCAGGGCACAGGCGTGTGCTCGCTCCCAAGCTGTGTGCATCTATGGAGCTGCGCTCCATAGAAACATGCAGTGGGGCTGGGCCCTGTCCCTGCTTCCTTCTCACAGAATTTGATTAACAGCAGCAGGAGCTGCGCGAGGCGAGGAAAGGTAGAGGAGAGGAGAGAGAAGAGAAAAGAGAAGAGATCAAGCCATGCACAGCACTGGATCAATTGAGGACTCAGGTAAGTACATAGAAGGATGAGGGAGGACAGCAAAAATGTAAAACATTTACCTTAATGCAGTGGATGCATCAAAAGTATAATAAAAAAAATATATATGTTTTGCCTATAGAACCACTTTAATTGGCCTGTTCAGAATTATGTTTGCACACAGCCAGAATGTACAGCTCAGTGTACATTCTAAGAGACTGCAAGCAGCCAGGTTATGTTTATGCTATGGCAGAAGAGACACTATGGGGTTTATTTACTAAAGCTGGAGAGTCCAAAATCAGACTCCCTTCTGCATAGAAACCAATCAGCTTCTAACCTCAGCTTGTTCAATGAAGCTTTGGCAATGAAACCTGGAAGCTGATTGGTTTCTATGCAGAAGGGAGTCTGATTTTGGACTCTCCAGCTTTAGTAAATAAACCCCTATATGTCTCTTCTGCATTAAAACAGTCTACCCGCTTAAAAAAAAAAAAAAAGTTCTACTTTAATTTTTCCAGGAGATAGGTACCTTATGCCATTTGTTTTTGTTTGGTAGTTCCAACAGTGAAATGTTCTCAGCATCCTTGTAGGATGCGCTCCTGATGACATCATATGACGAAACATGCAGGGCAGGACTTGATAGCGTTACACTTGTTCTCTGAGAAGGAATTGCTTTTTGCTGGGATTTTATAAAGTGCCATACACATGGTTTTTATGCAAGTGCAATTTTAAGCGTTTTTTAAATATGGCGTTACGCTATGGAAGTCTCCCTTTGATGTTTTTACAGTGGTGGAGGGAGTGCTGTGGAGGATCTGGAGTTTTGTCACAACTGATTGATCTGCAGGGGTTTCCACTATGGCGTCTGTCACCAGAGTACAGAGGTGTCAAGACCACACAGATGGCCAACTTTCCTGCAGGAGAGCACTGCAACATCTCATATGATATTTGACCTACCATTCCAGGTGGTCAATTACACAGTTTATGGCATTGTATATGCGCTATTTTTAGCACTATTGTCCTTTAAGCACCTTGTATTTTCTTATTGGTTTATTTAGGATTTAGTTACTGGGGAGGAATGATATAATTGCCAGCCCACGGAGCATTATAGCACATGCACATTTGTGGGGACTCTGTGTAGTAGGGAGTTCATTCATTTATTAATTATTTAAAGTAGTTTTTGGAAGAGGCAGCGCAGTAATTTTTATGTTTGCACTCAAACATTTGTTCACCGGTACACATTTGGGATTTTGCTAGCAGCAGCCAGTCTAATTGATTAGTCCTCTGCACAGGTTATACTCCCACACCTATAATTTTTTTGCTATCAAACTAAAGCCCTATCTATCCCCCCAAAAAATATGTATGATACCTTACTACAAATGAGAAAGGTATAATGCACAGAACCAAAAAAATTGTAAAAACGTTCAGTGACTCAAATGGTTAGATATAAAACATGGGGAGCTATGCATAAATTGTGAGGTTGTGTGGTCATATGTGTGTTTTGTTTCTTTTTTTTTCTTTTTTAGCACCTAAATACATTTGACTCAAAAGTTGCTTTGTTAGGACTATTCCTTTGTTAACATTTTTACAGAATTCCCCACAACTACATATATGACGGTCTAGATACTGCTACCTTTATAACCTTGCCAACAAAGTAGTCTGATGTAACAGAAGGACACTGCAACAGATATACATCTGATGGAAACTGTGCACAAAAGATGCCATATAACACAATACTAGGTGCATATCTGCAAGTGTAATGAAAATGTAACTAATCTGTTACCTAAAGCTGCTTTTGGGGACATACTCAGACAATCCACATTCGGCCCCATCTCCAGATCACCTGAAACTAAAGAACACAAACATTACAAATCAACATTAATGGATTTAAATATAAAAAGAAGAGTAGAAAAGTAGGAGGTGTGATCGGGACTTACATAGGCCACTCAAGTTCCTCCACACCAAAGTGGTCAAACCATGACTGTATGAGCCTTCCCCAAATTGGTACCACATAGTCAGAGGTGCACAACTGTCTAAAAACATCTTTTTATACTATAACTTGAACAGGACTCTTCAATGGAAACACCTGAACCCAATAGTTTTTGGTGGGGTGTCCACATACATTGGCCATGTAGTAGAATTGTTTAACTACTTTGTAAACGTTAACTGAAACTGATGCTGTTCAGATGGGCATTCAAAAACTAAAACACTGACTGAAATTTGGCCAGTCTAGCAGTTTGGCTGAAGGATAAAATGAACAGTGTTTAGCTCTGCTGTAAACTGGCCAAAACGTACCTTTCCTTCAACTAACCACATCCTTTGCCAGCATCTTCTCCTGGGTGCCATTCTTCAATCATCTTCATTGCCCAGGGCAGGATGATGTCACTCCTGCACATGTCAATCACCCCAGCACACAGGGACTGTGCTGGAGAGGTTACATGCTGCAGAATGCTGCAAGCAGTCAGGTAGGTTTATTTATTGCAGGAGAGACATGAAAATGTCTCTTGTGCAAAAAAAGAGCTTGTCTGTTCAGTGTATAACAGTAGAACTTTAGTTCCACTTAAGGGTTAACAAACCAAAATTTGAATGATTACGGCTAAGTGGTCTTTTACAGTACAGGTATACTTCATGCTGATAGCTGGAAATCTGGGTTTGCAGTGTAATTTCCTAGTGCAGGTTAAGAAAATGACATACTTCTAATGCTGAATACCAGAAAAACAGCCCAGTTATCCCTGTAATCATACCTTCTTTGCCATCAGTGATAGTTTGTGGAGGACTCAGTAAAGCAGGTTCTGATGCCATGGGTGTCTGTGTCCAGTCTGTATCACTTGTGTCACTGACCTGCTGTTAGAAATTTAGAATTTGTATTTAATCTGAGTTTATTGAACATTTTAAAACAAATTACAAAGATATTGTGAAATATAAAATCAGTATCTTATACTTATACACTCTATAATTCCCTGTGAAATAACACTAAAAAAAGTCCCACTTTCACCCTTAAAAGCATAAATCAATTAAAATAAATCTTTTCATAGTCCACCGCTACGTCCGGTTTTTCAGGCAACGCCCAACGTCACGTCCCTTGACGCGTTGTCAGGGCTCCCAGGTGTGACCAGAGGTGTGTGACTGATGCAGGGAAACGCAGACTTCAGATATGTGATAAACAATATAATTTATTAACACTAACAATACAAACATAAACGCAGTGCAATACTAAACATAATACAGTGCAAACAAACCAAACCAACCACAGATAACAGTACATACAAGCAAGCGTCGTCAGGCAGGCCGGGTCAATATCAATTGGGCAGGTAGGTACAGGGGGAGCAAGCGGAGATTGGTCGGGGTCACAGGCCAGGTTCAGCAGGTAGCTAGCAGCGTAGTACATAGGGTCAGGCAGAGGGATGGTCAGGGTCACAAGCCAGGGATCAGAACAGGTAGCAGGCAGCGTAGTACAGAGGGTCAGGCAGAGGGATGGTCAGACAAGCCAGGGATCAGAACAGGTAGCAGAGAATCAGACAGGAACAGAGAGCAGGAACAGGATACAGGGCCCAAGAGAAACACAACACCAAGGCAGAGTCTGCAAGTCTGGCCATCCCTTAAATACCCCAGCATTATCAGTTCCAGGTGTTAGCTGGCTGCAAAGTTGAGTCTCTGATTGCTGGGAGCATCCGCTGGCCAGCCCTGGTACTGCAGATCAAAAGGCAGGTGAGTCCCACCATTGCTGGCTAGTCCATTCCTGACACGCGTTTTGTCACTTCCTTGACTTCCTCATAAGGGGTGTCCCTTATGAGGAAGTCAAGGAAGTTTGAGGTACACTGCAATTATTGGAATCATACGGTGAATTTAATCAGAAATTGGAGAAAGATTTTTGGACTTTATTTGGGGTTTTGTTTCACATATTTTGATGGACACTGAAAAGGTTTATTTTAATTAAAATACACAGATAACAGATGTTCAATAAAAAAAACATCAACAAAATTAGAAATACAGGAAAAAAAAAAAAAAAAAAAAAAAAAAAGCACGATCGAGGGGTAAGGAGAAAAAATATAAAAAGCAAATCCAATAAACATTAAAGAAAAACCAGGGACTCCGGGTCATTTTTTTTTTTTTTTTATACCAAAACAGGTTCGTACTTACCTGCTCTGTGCACAGAGCAGCCCCAAACGTCTTCTTCTCGGGTCCCCCACCTACGCTCCTGGCTTCTCCTCTCTGTCCAGTACCCCCATAGGAAGCTACTACCTATGGGGGGCACTTGTGCATGCTCTTTCCCGAACCCTGCTGGCTGCCTCTATTGACCCAGACAGTGGGACTCGGCTCTGCCCCCTGCTCCCCCATTACTGGCTGTGATTGACAGCAGCAGGAGCCATGGCTACCAGCGCCCCAACAAAGCCTGTGATACCCGAAATGAAGGGAAGAGAAGAACTGCAGATGTGCACATCCCTGGATCAAATGAGGGCTCAGAAAGGGGGAGGGCGCGGGGGGGGGGGGGGGGGGGGGGGGGGGGGGGGGGGGGTGAGGGGGAATGCGGAAGCCTAAACATGGATTAGGCTTTATAGCTACTTAAGTCTCCAACAATTTTTATAGAAGTTCTTAATATCTACAAAATGTTGCTCAAATGTGTCTGCTATCCCATGTGTTTTTTTTTTCGTTTTTAGTAGAATGCAGTTTCTTGGGGGGAACATTGCATGTTAATGTATCTTTCTGCATTTTAGAAATAGATGAGCGCGTAAAATAATTTTTTAGAAGTAAAAAAAAAAAAGAAAAACCAAAAACAAAAAAAAATGCACGACACACACACCCTGTAAAACCCAGTACTTTACAATCCCAGATGATATCTCCCCCTTTATCAATACCTCTGAGTGTGCAGAAAAGAAATCTTCATCCTTCTGTTGCGGTGAGAGTGGTGGGGCCCCGCAGCCATCTATCCACAGCTGCAATTAATGGGAAAAACATCAGATTAGACAAAGCACTAGAAGTGGACAATGCAAGGTAGCCATATAGTACCTGACAAAGCAAAAGGTAGGACAAAGGACAAGAGAGAACAGCTGGTACTTCAGGGCTTCAGGGTTGAAATACTTGGTTTACTATAGTACTGTAAATAAGGACCTGAATAGCATGTGAAGAGTCACTCTCAGTCAACATTGACTATTTTGAGTCCTTATGCTGCTAACATTAGTAAATAGATAGTAAAGTATATCATATTTAGATGTTAACATTTTTTAAAATTTCCTTAGTTATTTCTGAGTTTCCCTGCCTAAGCAAATGTCATCCCCAGCAGTCTTCAAGAGGGGAGGATGGGTTTTCTCAGCTAAGCACGCTCTCCTGCCTGCATGCCTGGGTTAAGGGCAGATGGATTCCAAGAATTAAATGTTACATTAATCATCTGCCCTTACTCAAGATGGACACAGCCAGAAATGCTATGAGGTGTTTTTCTAAGCGATTTCTCAGCAAAATAATGCATGAAGACATGAATGGGTGGGGGAGTTTGCTTTGAATATTAAAAATGAGATATAGATATATAGAGATAGAGAGAGATAGAGATATATAGATAGAGATAGAGATATATAGATAGAGATAGAGATATATAGATAGAGATAGATATATATATATATATATTATAATAAAGAGGGGGAATGGGGTGGAGGATGAGATTATCATTCCCTCTGTCTTGCTGTGTGATGATCCTAATATCTGTAGGCAGTCAAATATTTTGAACCTGACTGAGACCTGAACCTGAGGTATGCCTGCTCACAAGCTGAGGGGATTCAGTGCATGTGCAGGAAAGGCATGGTTCTCAGCCAAATCCAAAATACTTGTAAGAAAAACTTTCAGCATGCCTGCATATGCATGGAATCATATGCTCCTCCTTAAGGCCATACACGCCTGAGACGCCACGCCACCGGATCAAGGAGGTCCGGTGGCCCCCATAACTATCCAGCTGGCCAGTTTTTTTAAATGGTTTATGAACGGTTTTGCTGCATGCTTTGTCTTCATTTCATTGGCGATAGCCTCCATTTGCTTTTATGTATGTTCATCACTTTTAACCATTAAAAAAAGAATTTATATTTTGACCTACTACACTATGGCCACTATTCTCTGCTCCACATCGAGCATTTAACCCCCCAGGACCATATGGTGACCACCCTGAGGCCCAGAGGAGAGTGACTCATATAAGCTGAACCCCATCACAGCTTTCACCAGTAGTGAAGATCTCTCGAGGCGCCAGTATTGTGGGACAGCCTGTCCAGTGTGAACTGCACCTTCCACAGGATAAGAGGGGACCTCTGGCTATTAATATTGCGCATCTGGTGAGTGCACATTTCTTATATTTCCTACATGGTTTTGACGAGTGCCTCACTGGGAGTAACAAAGTCACCATTTCATCTATTTTTCATTTACCGGACATTGTTCCTATGGACTTCATACTGTCTATTTGAGGGTGTGGCCAGTCTCTGATATAGCGCACACGCACACGCACACACCTACCTTGTGATATTTATTGAGGACTATTTATATTTTATATTTTTTATCGTTAGCGCTGCACTTTTTTCACTTTACAAAAATGTAAATGCATTTTATGTGATAGACCAACACAAAGTGGCACATAATTGTGAAGTGGAACGAAAATGATAAATGGTTTTCAAAATTTGTTACAAATAAATATATGAAAAAAAAGTGTGGTGTGCATTTGTATTCAGCCCCCTTTACTCTGATACCCCTAACTTAAATCTAGAGCAACCAATTGCCTTCAGAAGTCACCTAAATTAATAAGTAGTCCACCTGTGTGTCTTTTAATCTCAGTATAAATACAGCTGTTCTGTGAAGCCTTCAGAGGTTTGTTAGAGAACAATAGTGAACAAACCGCATCATGCAGGCCAAAGAACACACCAGACAGGTCAGAGATAAAGTTGTGAAGTTTAAAGCAGGGTTAGGTTATAAAAAAAATCCCAAGCTTTGAACATCTCAGGGAGCATTGTTCAATTCATCATACGAAAACGGAAAGAGTTTGGCACAACTGCAAACCTACCAAGACATGGCCGTCCATCTAAACTGACAGGCCGGGCAAGGACAGCATTAATCAGAGAAGCAGCCAAGAGGCCCATGGAAACTCTGGAGGAGTTGCAGAGATCCACAACTCATGTGGGAGAATCTGTTCACAGGACAACTACTAGTTGTGCACTCCACAAATCTGGCCTTTATGAAAGAGTGGCAAAAAGAAAGCCATTGTTGAAAGAAAGCCATAAGAAGTCCCGTTTGCATGAAGCCATGTGGGGGACACAGCAAACGTGGAAGAAGGTAATCTGGTCAGATGAGACCAAGCTTGAACTTTTTGGCCTAAATGCAAAAACACTATGTGTGGCGGAAAACTATCACTGCACATCAGCCTGAACACACCATCCCCACTGTGAAGCATGGTGGTGGCAGCATCATGTTGTGGGGAAGTTTTTCTTCAGCAGGGACAGGGAAGCTGGTCAGAGTTGATGGGAAGATGGATGGAGCCAAATACAGGGCAATCTTAGAAGAAAACCTATTAGAGTCTGCAAAAGACTTGAGACTGGGGCAGAGGTTGACCTTCCAGCAAGACAACGATCCTAAACATACAGCCAGAGCTACAATGGAATGTTTTAGATCAAAGCATATTCATGTGTCAGAATGGCCCAGTCAAAGTCCAGACCTAAATCCAATTGAGAATCTGTGGCGAGACTTGAAAATTGCTGTTCACAGACACTCTCCATCCAATCTGACAGAGCTTGAGCTATTTTGCAAAGAAGAATGGGCAAAAATGTCCCTCTATAGATGTGCAAAGCTAGTAGAGACCTACCCAAAAAAACTTGCAGCTGGAATTGCAGTGAAAAGTGGTTCTACAAAGTATTGACCCAGGGGGGTGAATACAAATGCACGGCACACTTTTCAGATATTTATTTGTAACAAATGTTGCAACCATTTATCATTCTCCTTCCACTTCACAATTATGTTCCCCTTTGTGTTGGTCTATCGCATAAAATCCCAATAAAATACATTAACGTTTTTGGCTATAACATGAAAAAATTTGGAAAATTTCAAGGGGTATGAATACTTTTTCGAGGCACTGTAACGCAATATATTAAGGAGAATTTCCAATGTCTTATAATCAATGGCTTTAGATTGGCACATGAAGTGTCACGTATATCTATCTTTTAATTATTTTATATGTATATATGAATTTATTTTTTCATTTATTAGGAGGAGATTGATGGTCCAGGTTTTTTCCCAGCTATCTACGGGTTAAAGAGTTATCCTGCCATTTTGCAGGATTAATGTCCCTTAGAGCAGCCAGCAATGTATTTCATTTGAGATATTCTTTAGCGACCCCACTATCTTTATATTAAAAGCAGTGGGAAGGGCAGTGCTGGCAGACGTGAAAATGGGGGACACGTCCCTGAAACCTGTCATTGCCATGGCAACCCAGTAGCTTAATGGGGGAGTGACCCATCAGTCTTTGCACACTGACAGCCTTCTGTGAGGTCCATGGATGACCGCGCACCAGCTGGGAGTAAAGCATTCCGACTTTCCCTGGTCTGCCTGCACTGTCTGCAGAAGGAGAGAAAGGCGCTGTTACAATATGATGTTTCTCTGGCCTGGTTCCTAGTATACGGTGTGGGATTATTACAGGTGCATACCTATCAAGCAAATGTGAGTGCATATATGTTGTGATTTAATGTCTTTCAATATAATAAAAGTGTTTATTGAGCTAGTTTTTTTTTCTCTTCCAGGTCACCCCCACCCAAACCTCCCTCTTTCCCTTTAGAGCACGTCCAAGCATTTTTTTTTTCTTTTTTACCCCCTGTCAAATAAGAGTCAATGGCTCAATTTCTATTGGCAGTGCTACATATTCTAAGAGCTTTTCCCCTACACACAGTGTGTGCATGCAGGCTCTTGGGAGTCCAGGCAGCAGCACTGTTTTGCTGGGAAAAAAAAAAATAATAATGTATGCACGTGTAGAGTGACAGAGCGCATTGGGAAATAGGGGGGGTGGTAATACTGTAGTCCAGTACACAGGGCAGACAAAGACGGTTAAGATTTTGGTGCAGCAGATGCACTGTTTTCCTAGCTCAAACAGAACATTAGGATTTCCTGCAGATCAACAGATATTTTTCTGTACTTGAGGCATTTATTGGGAAGCAAAAACATGGGAAAATGTATTTCATCGATGAACTGAATATGTTTTATTGTGTCCTGTAATACACTTTCTACACATTCTACTGGTCTTCCATATGACTTACTTCAGTGCCATGTTTCCTTGTTGCTTGTGATGCTAGTGTTTTAATTTTCTCCCTGTACAGGTTTGCCGCTCGACTGTTGTATTTTGCGTTTGAGTCGTTTGTGGTGCAGCCATGTTGCCGAAAGAAGACAGTCTACAATGAAGAAAAAAAAAAAAAACAAAAACAAAAAGAAAAAAATAGAAAGGTCATAAGTGCAAATTATTCCTGTGCTGTATAGTTCTGGCTAAGGAGAACAAGAAACTCATGCAAAATACATTAAAAGAGCAAGCATGTACAAAACGGATTACAACACCGCATGCTGCAGAATGACAACAAGATATGGCCCACCACCACCATTGCTCAGTGCACAGATGTTACAGCTGCTGATATTCATATAATATTTTCAGTTATACATAGACAACTTTTCCTTCAGAACCAGAGTGCTGGAATGTGAAAGGCCTCATGACTGCAGTGAGGTTTTCAGTGCCGTACAAAATGTAAAGAAAACAATTCCTTCCTTCAAAGTAAACACAGTATACTATATGTTCAGCAACTTTCAGTTATTTTCTATCTGTTACATAAAAGTACCATCATGCTTACGGTGATTGTAGTCGTTTCAGAGCACTTGCAACAATACAGCTTAGTACTGGCTGTGATTATTATTTTTTTTTTTTTTTTTTGGCACAACCTGTTCCACTAAGTACTATCCATTCACTTGTAAATTAGAAAATGCAATTAGCATTGCTGCTTAGAGACTATACAGGTCTCTAAAATGATCAAAATGGCACTCCTCTGCAATGACACAGGTAGCATACTCGCCACCCAGCAGCCCGGGTCTCCTACCACCCCTCTCTGTTCCCCCATTGAATTCTCCATAAGACTCTTCTGAGGTGTGAGATGACGGTGTCCCCTGTGCACACCATAGATCCTTACTCCCATCACTACAACTACAGTGCTCAAACAGTGACATTGTAATACATGTAGTAGGGGATGGACAGGAGATGAAGAGGAGGAAAGAAAGAGGGTGGGGGAGTGAGGATGTGAGAGGCGTGGATTAGGTAGTCACAAGATCTATTTTGGTGAAGATCAGTGGGATTATTTACTGTACATCCAGATATGGGGGGCCCCCCACCTCTACTGCAGTTCCTTCCCTCCTCTTTGTTGAATATTATGGTTGCTATGATATCTGAACTGGGTCCTAGGATGCACATTTATTTTTGTTTACGTTTGTGTGTGTGAGACGTGTATGAATTTTAAATGCTTCTTTTTTCTTGATTGTTGTCTTGTATTTTATTGTGATGTATTTATTTGTAAAATTATTTAAAATGAATAGAAAGAATTAATGATGGAGCCTGCAGAAAAAACAAAACAAAAAAAAAAAACCCAAGTCAAATGCTGAAGAGACCAATGGAAACTGCAGCGCTGGAATGGACCGGCAGCAAAAGACACAGGCCGCCAGAGAGGCGATTATAATGTCAAATAACAAAATAACGGCTCTACCTCCTCATCCTACTTGGGCCACCAAAAAACAATGGTACTCAGTAATGACTCCTGTCTGTCCATATGCCATAAAAACAAAATTAACAAATCCTTGAAAAAGGTTATTAAAACAGCATACAACTCTAAACTGATGTATTTTAGCCAGCTACTCCCAACCTCCTCCACAGCCCAACACGCCAGTGAGCACTGGAGGGGCAAAGCAGAGAGCCAGTGACAGACAGTCACCACTCTCTGCTCACAAAAGACTGAGAACTGAGCAATCAGTGGTCTCAGTTCTCGGCCTTAGAGGCGGCAGGGGACAGATGCTGCATCGGAATGATAATACCTCTACCTAGGAGAGTATAATTAATCTTTTTTTTTTTTTTTCTTTTTTTTAATCCCACACTTCACTTTTAATCATAGCTCTATTTGGAGCTGTGTGGCATTTTAAATCAAACTTTGTAAGGATTCGTTGTATGTTGGTATCTTTCTATATCATGGTGCATACTTCTTTTCCAGGACAATGTTGTTTTGAAGACCTGACCAAGTCAAGCTTGTATGATCATTTAGAGTAGAGTATCGTCATTTAACACCTTTTTGGTGTGGCAGCGACGCGATTTGAGCCATACAAAAATGTATGATTCCAATCACACCGCACAGACATCGCATGTAATTTGCACAGGAATGCGATTCCTGTGCGAATTACATACGGTGTCCCGCACCGCATTACTGTGTCAATTATAGAATCCTTAAAAATCATTTTAAAAAAACAAAAACCAAATAAATATATACACACTACTGTACTAGAGATGTACAAAACTGAAAAATGTGTTTTGTTTCGGATTTGTTTGTTATAATTTCACTATATCTGTTATGTTCGTTAGAATGATTCATTTTCAGAATTAGTTTTGCATGTTCAGATTCGCTTCATATATTTGTTATTTTCAAACCCATTTGAAATCAAATATTTCAGAAGACTGCTATATTCTATTTTAATCTATTCGAAATTCAAATTTCAAAGACAGTTATATTCTATTTGAAATTTGAATGTTCGGAACGCGGTTATATTCTATTCGAAACTGGAAAGATGGCTATATTCTATTCATTTTTAATTCAAATTTCGAACTTCAAATTTACGAAGGCTACTGTATAATTTTTCTATTCTATTTTCTATTCCTTAAATTTTCCATTCTATTTTTCTCTATTCTGTTTTATTATATTATTTTATTTTCTATTCTAGATTATATTATTATTACACCTTACTGTATTTATTGCAATATGGCTCCATTTCAAAATATTTAATTCAAATTTATTTTCAAATTCATTAGTGAATTCGGATAATCAGTTTCCTTTTTGTTTCGGATTTGCTGAAATTAATTTCCATTGTGATTTGGAAATTCAGATACAATCAAATCTTCGAAAAATTTTTGTCTGAATTTTGATTCGTAGGTAATCCAATTGCACGTCTTCACCATACTACATAGTGCCAACATAGCAAAACCTCAACCTAAAAATTTGCACAATGCACCCAATGATTGCAAAATTAGGTTTTCGGAGGTCATACAATTTATAAGAAATGTATGTTTGAACTTTCATAGTCTTGTGAGACTCAGGCCATTATTCCTTATGAATCCTGGACAAACCCTGCCGCTGCTCACATATTTTAAGATATCACTTTTGCTTTTGCAAAGTATGTGTGCTTTGTTCATTCAGTAAGTATGCCAACTAGTATTTGGACTGTAATAGCAAAGAGCTAATGAACTGCATGATGCAGCAAAGAGCATTATGCAAATAAAACTAAGTGTATCAAAAGTGCATTTATCCTTTGAATGGTCAGTGCACCCAAACATAATAATTTAGTTATAGGTGGAGCCAGAAGGACCAAGTTATTTCTAGGTAACTTATATGTTTAGGATACCTAACAGTGAGATATCCCTGTGATAAATTCCCATATTTGATCCAGGGCATTCTGCTACATCCCCCTTAATAAAGAAAATACAGATGAGATGTGGGAGCCCTACATAATGGGCACATCAGGTGTTCAGACCCAGAAATTCTGTACAGGATGGTAGGAGCCCCTTAAAATTTGAACATCAGGTGCACAGATCTGGGAGAACAGCACAGAGGTCTCTCCAACAGAGTACCTGAAATCTCCATCATCAATCAAAAGCTAAAATAAAATAAGAGGATCCAACACCTACACACAAAACATTGTCCTCTAGTCAGTGTACATGTTTATCTGTTATCCCTGGAACCAAAATATTTTTTGAAGCATTGACCAGCATGCTCACAATACAAAGTAATCCAAGGCAAACAAACCTTCAACAAAAGGCTACACCGGAGAAAAGATCTGAAACAAACCAAAATATGGACTTAAAGTATTAAAAGTTTCACACAAAATGTCACCATGTATTAAAAGCTCAGTGTCTGTTTTTTTAAGCTTACATTTGATGTCCTGAAATCATTGTCCAGAGACTTTTAAAGGCTACATAAAAGTGACTTGAAAAAAAAATTTGCCACTTTCTAACTTACTGCAAATATCTGACCAAATATTTTCCCAGACTTCAGCTAATATCTGATACTAGATAGAGGGCAAATGGGTAAGCAAAAAACAATGTAATATGTAGTAAATCATAAAATGTTCCCATGGGTTACACTACATTTGTTTTATGGGACAACTTAGCTGAGAGAGAAAACAAACAAAAAAAAAACAAAAAACATTGAAAGAGTGTTTTAAATACTCTGCTTTGCCAATGCCTGATAAATAGTTATTGTATGCCAAAATGAAGACATGCAATGCCATTTACACCGACAACAGCTGCCGCTAACTGAAATTGACAGCTAAGTGGGTAGGCTATCAACTACAACATCTGACCCACACCCACCTCCCTGGCATCACTAAAAGCTCCCGGCAGCTTAGGCCTTCAGCATGCAGTGCAGAAGAAGACCATCTGCAACTACTGCAATACCATACATTCCAAGTGATACTGGTCTGCAGCTGACCTGAGGTCTGGCATGCACACTGAGGCTGATCTGAAGTGTGATATACATGAACTGGGGCTGATCTGAAGTGTGACATAGATGCACTGGGGCTGATCTGAGGTCTGAAGTGCACGCATTGGGGCTCATTTGAGATCTGGAAATCATGCATACCAGTTAATCAGGTTTGGCACTCTTAAGCTAGCCATAGATTGTTTGAATCTCAGCCATTTCAGCAAGGACCGGCCGATTCAACCGTCAATGGATAGGCTTGATTGTACCCAATTCGATTGTTGTATGACTTGGGTACAACCAGCCAACCGCTAGCAATAATCACTGTGTTTTCCCGGCAGGGTGGGCATGGGGAGCCATCACTGCCTGGAGAACACAGTGATTATTGCTAGCGGTTGGCTGGTTGTACCAAAGTCATACAACAATTGAATTGGGTACAACCAGCCTATCCATTGACGGTTTGAATCTTGGCCAGTCTTTGCAGGCCATAGACAATTTGATTTTCTTTCCTGCAAGCACAGGTTGCAGGAAAGAACATCTCTTGGATTTCCCCCATCAACACAGTGTTGATGGGGGAAAATCAAGAGATTTTCTTTCCTGCAACCTGTGCTTGCAGGAAAGAAAATCAAATATTCTATGGCCTGCCTAATTTGTACTGCCACTAGCAAGATAAAGGAGTTTTA